CCCATGTCCCCATGTCCCCATGTCCCCATGTCCCCATGTCCCCGTGTCCCCATGTCCCCGTGTCCCCATATCCCCATGTCCCCATGTCCCCATGTCCCCATGTCCCCATGTCCCCGTGTCCCCATATCCCCGTGTCCCCGTGCCACACCCGTGTCCCCAGGCTGATGTCACAGCGACGTCCCCAGGTCACTTTGCTGTCCCCACGCAGGGATCACGTTCCTGTCGGGGGGTCAGAGCGAGGAGGAGGCGTCTCTGAACCTCAACGCCATCAACCGCTGCCCGCTGCCGCGGCCCTGGGCGCTGACCTTCTCCTACGGCCGCGCCCTGCAGGCCTCGGCCCTCAAGGCCTGGGGCGGCAAGAAGGACAACACCAAGGCGGCCCAGGAGGAGTACGTGAAGAGAGCACTGGTAGGTGGCCTTGGGGACACCCTGGGGACACCCTGGGGACAGGGGGGTGGGCAGTGGGGCTGGCAGGAGAAGGGTTGGGGTGACACGTGAGGGCATTGGGAACACAAGGACAGGGGGACCCAGGTGGGGCCTGGCAGGTCGCTGGGGACCTTGGGGACACCGGCGTCCCCACTGTCCCCAACATGCCCTGAATGTCCCCAATGTCCCCAGGCCAACTCCCTGGCGTGCCAGGGCAAGTACACCCCGAGTGGCACAGCGGGAGCGGCCGCCAGCGAGTCCCTGTTCGTGTCCAACCACGCCTACTGACCACTGACCACCGCCTGCTGCCCAGTGACCGCCCAGTGACCGCCCAGTGACCCCAGTGACCACCCAGTGCCCCCAGTGACCCCAGTGCCCCCTGCCCCAGCCCTGCCCCAGCCCTGCAGTAAAAGGTCGCGGGTGAACTCACAAGGCTTCGTTGGGAGTTTTTTTGGGGGGACTTTTGGAAGCGAAATTTGGGGGGTCTGGGGTGGGGTTTGGGATGTTTTAGTCCCAAATTTCCCAGAATCATGGAATCAATCCCAGAATCCCAGAATCAACCCCAAAATCAGAGAATCACAGAGTCCCAAAACACAGAATCCCAGAAATCCAGAATCAATCCCAGAATCCCAGATTCAATCCCAGAACCACAGAATCCCAAATTCACGGAATCCCAGAATCAATCCCAAAATCAGAGAATCCCAGAATCCCAAAACACAGAATCCCAGAAATCCAGAATCAATCCCGGAACCACCAAGGTGGGAAGAGACCTCCGAGACCACAGAGTCCAGCCTGGCCCTGACACCACAGCGGCCCCGTGGCGCTGAGAGCTGCATCCCAAATATCCCAGTGATTGACACATCCCGAATATCCCGGAGTGATTGACACATCCCCAATATCCCACAGTGATTGACACATCCCGAATATCCCAGTGATTGACACATCCCCAATATCCCACAGTGATTGACACATCCCCAATATCCCACAGTGATTGACACATCCCCAATATCCCAGTGATTGACACATCACTGACCACACTGACCACTGCCCACACTCACCAGAGTGACCACTGACCAAAGTGACCACTGCCCACACTCACCAGAGTGACCACACTGACCACTGACCCACACAAATCTCCCATAGAAACCCCCCTCCTGACCCTGTCCGCACTCTGGACCTATCCCCATCCCTTTGCCCACAAATTCTGGGATTTCGGGTCATTCTGGGCCCCTTTTCCCTCTATTTCGGGTGCCGGCGTTCATTTCTGGAACATTTTCCACGCCCCATTTCCAGCCCCGCCTTTCCCGGGACTTTATTCTCCCAATTTTGGCCATTCCGGGTATTTCGGACTCCCCTTCCACAGGGATTTTATCTTTTCGGGTGGTTTTGGGTCCCTTTCCGCTCAATTTTGGGGAGTTTTTTCGCGCTCCATTTCTCAGCGCGCCTCTCCGGGGACGTTTTTGGCGCCACCCGGGCGCCATTTTGGCTCCACCTTCCCCGGCCAGTTCCGGTTCTGCGCTTCCGCGTGGGCGTGGGCGGAAGTGACGCGCGGCGGCGGCGGCGGCGGGTCCGGCGGTGGGTCCGGGCCGCTTTCGGGGCTGTTTTGGGGTTTTTTTGGGTTTTTTGGGTTTTTT